CCCCCGGGGGCCCCCCCAGCGGCCCCCAAAGGGGCCCCCGGGGGCCCTCAGGGGCCCCCAGGGGGCCCCACAGGGGCCCCCTGGGGGCCCCTGTGGGGCGCTGCGCTGCTGCTGGGTTTGGTGGAAGGAGTTTGTGTCTTGGAAGAATTTGGTTTTAATAAAAAGTTTATTTATTGTTTTAAAAAGTCTTTTGTGTTGAATTAAAAAGTAAAAAAAGTTTGTTTTGATTGAAATGCAGTTAAAATGATATTTATTTTTAATTCAGAGAAGCAAAATAAACTTAAATGGGATTTATTTAGACTTTATTTATTTCAGATTAAATGAATAAAATGACTTTTTGTTTGTTTTGATTATTTTATTTTATGTTTCTTTTGTTTATAAAAAATAAATTAAATGATTTAAAGACAGGCTTGGGCTAGCCTTGCATCCCCAAAGCCAGCAGCAGCAGCAGCAGCAGCAGCTGCTGCTGCTGCTGCTGCTGCTGCAGCAACAACAGCAGCAGCTGCTGCTGCAGCAGCAGCAGCAGCACAGCCTTCGGCCGCCGCCCCAGGGGCCCCAGGCCCACTCTGGGGCCCCAAAGGGCACAGGGGGGCCCCCCTGGGGGCACAGGGGGGCCCCCCGGGGGCCCCCTGGGGCCCCACTGCTGCAGCAAGAGGGGCCCCCTTTTGGGTCTTAAGAGCTTTTTAGAAGCAGCAAAATGAACTCGAGCTGCTAATTGCTGCTTGGGGCCCCTCAGCAGCTGCGTTTGCTGCAGCCGCTGCTGCTGGGGGCCCCTTCTGGAAGGAGGGTCCAGGGGGGCCCCCCAGTACCCTTTTTCGTGGGGCCCCCAGGGGGCCCCGCTCGGGGGGGGGCCCCCAGGGGGGCCCCCCAGTACCCTTCTCATATATTTGTGAATGGTATAAAGAAAGAAATAAATGGATTTATTTCTTAAATGAATTATATTCATTTAAAATATTTATTTCTTTAAATGAATTATATTTATTAAAAATATAATTAAAATGAAAAACAAACACTGGGGGGCCCCCTGCCCGGGGGGCCCCCCGTGTTTGGTTTTGCTGCTGCGCCCCGGAGAGGCAAAGAGGAAGCAGCAAAGGCCCCTTTGCTGCTGCTGCTGCTGCTGCTGCTGCTGCTGCTGCAGGTGCTGCTGCTGCTGCTGCAGGTGCTGCAGCCACAGCTCCCCTGCTGCTGCAGCTGAAACTGGCAAGAGTGGACCTGACCAGTGGTCACCAACAGTAGCTATCCTTTGCTGCCGGAGATGAAGTGCAGCAGCAGCAGCAGCAGCAGCAGCAGCAGCAGCAGCAGCAGCAGCAGCGACGAGTGCTGCAGGCCCAGCTGCAGCCCTAAACCCTCGCCTAAACCCTAAACCCTAAACCCTAATTTGCAGAGCTCGCTCCAAACCCTAACCCCACTTCGAAACCCTCACCAGCCAAACCCTAGACTAAACCCTAGAAGTCGCAAACCCTAGCAGCAAATTAAAAAACAAATAAAACTTTTAAACATAGTTAGGGGGCCCCCCTGGGGGCCCCCCTGTTGCGGGGGGGCCCCCAGAGACCTTCTCAAACCCTAAAGCCTAAACCCTAAACCCTAAACCCTAAACCCTAAACCCTTTATTGGGATATGAAAAGAAAAGGAAAAGAGAAAGAAGAGATATTGGGGGCATTGGAGTGTATGTACAGCTCGGCCTCTTTCTTACATTGCCACTCGAACCAAAGGGTTTAGGGTTTAGGGTTTAGGGTTTAGGGTTTAGGGTTTAGGGCAATCAATTCTTTGCAACTATTTGTCTCCAAAATAAAAAATAAAATATGCAGCACACAAAAGCCCTTACCCCTGAAGCTCTCCCGGTGCCCCCTGGGGCCCTCTGGTACCCTCAGGGGCCCCCCAGGGGGCCCCCGGGGGCCCCCGGGGCCCCTCGGGGGGCCCCCTGAGGGTACTAGAGGGGCCCTGAGGGCCCCACGGGGGCCCCTGGAGGGCCCCAGGGCCCCCGGGCCCCAGGGGCCTCCATGGGGGGCCCCTGGGGCCCCCCGGGGCCCCAGAGGGGCCCCCCTGGAGCTCCGAAGAGCCCTGGGGGGCCCCCAGGGGCCCCCGGGGGCCCCCGGGGGCCCCCGGGGCCCCCAGCCTTAGGGGGGCCCCCTGAGGTGTGGCCTTTGAAGGGAGACGAGGGTGAGGGGCCTCACACTGATTTAGGGTTTGTGTGCTGCGCATGGAGGGTTTGAGTAAATAGAAGTTTGAAATAAATATTTTTAAATTTTAAAATTAAATAAAAGTAAAAAATAGAAAAAGAAAGGAAGAAAAAGAGCAGCAGCAGCAGCAGCAGCAGCAGCAGCAGCAGCAGCAGCAAGGGAGCGCGTCGGGCTATGCGGCATGCGGCGGCTGGGGTAGAGTAGACCCTAAACCCTAGACCCTAAACCCTAAACCCTAAACCCTAAACCCTAAACCCTAAACCCCACCCCGCAGGCCCCAAAGCGCAAAACTCAAACCCTAAACCCTAAATCGACGGCAGCGCGCGCGGAAGCAGAACTATGAACTGAAGGTCCAGCGGCGCGGGGAGCAGAAGGCTGCTGCTGCTGCTGCTGCTGCTGCTGCTGCTGCTGCTGCTGCTTCTATTTGCTGCTGCTTTTTGCTTTTTTCTCCTATTTAGAGGGGCCCCCTGCAGCAGCAGACTGCGGGCTCGAGTGTCGGCTGTGGGGCCCCCCAGGGCCCCCTGGGATTGGGGTGTACGTACAGCTGAGCTGCAGGCTTTCTTGCTTTCTTCTTTTTCCCTTTTGCTGCTGCTGCTTCGCAGCTTGCTGCTGCTAGCAGCAGAGCCTCTGCTGCTGCTGCTGCTGCTGCTGCTGCTGCTGCTGCTGGCGCTCGCGAGCTTCCTGAGGGCCCCTGCGGCACTCTGCAGGCCTCCCAACGGGTAAGCACGGCGCTGCAGCAGCAGCAGCAGCTGCTGCTGCTGCTGCAGCAGCGAAGACGGCTGCTGCACTGAACTTGCTTCCAACTGGCGCCTGCTGCTGCTCTTCTTGCTGCTGCTGCTGCTCTTCTTGCTGCTGCTGCTGCTGCTGCTGCTTAGGGGTCTGTCCATAGTTGAAATTCGCGACTGTGGCTACGTACCGTGCCTCGCACACCTGCTGCTGCTGCTGCTGCTGCCGCTGCTGCTGCTGCCGCTGCTGCTGCTGCTGCTGCTGCTGCTGCTGCTGCCGCTGCTGCTGCTGCTGCTGCTGCTGCTGTGCTCATTCATTTGGCAATTTGTCTCCTTTTGCTGCCTCTCATTTTAATTTCTTTTCTCTCTTTTGCTTCTTTCTATTTGCTGCTGTTTATTTCCCTTTTGCTGCAGCACTTTTGTTGCTGCTGCAGTATTTCTTTTTTCTTTTTCCTTTTTTAATTTGTTTATCTAATTATTTTATTTTCATGTTTGTCCCTTTTTGTTTTTTAATTTAATTTATTTTATTTTAATTTATATTAATTAAATTAATTTATTTTTAATTTATTTCCTTTGCTTCTTTGCTGCTGCTTGCTTTTGCTGCTGCTGTTTGCTGCAGCTGCAATGCGCGCAGCAGCAGCGCCGCGGGGTTGCTGCAGTTTGCTGCTGCAAGGCTGAGGCCCAAAGGAGACAGCAGCAGCAGCAGCAGCAGCGGCAGCAGCAGCAGCAGCAGCAGCGGCAGCAGCAGCAGCAGCAGCAGCAGCAGCGAATTCGGTTTGCTGCTTCCCTGGTCTCTCTCCTTTTGCTGCTGCTTCGCGGCCTTCTCTTCTTTTTATGTGCAGCAGCAAATAAACTTTTCTTCATTTTTATTCTTTTAAATAAATAAATAAATAAATAAATATTTAATTTAATTTATTTAATTAAATTATTTATTTATTCTTCTTTCCTTCAAGGGCTGCTGCTGGTCTTCAGCCCTATGGATCTCTTCCCCGTTCTTCGCTGAGCAGCAGCAGCAGCAGCAGCAGCAGCAGCAGCAGCAGCCGCAGCAGCAGCAGCAGCAGCAGCCGCAGCAGCAGCAGCAGCAGCAGCCGCAGCAGCAGCAGCAGCAGCAGCAGCAGGAGGGAACGCAGGGGGCCCCCGCTGATCGTGGAAAGCGAAAGGGGCCCCCGGTCTCCTTGAAGCTGCTGCTGCTGCTGCTGCTGCTGCTGCTGCTGCTGCTGCTCTATTTTGCTGCTGCTTCCTCTGTTTGTTATTTTATTTTATTTTATTTAAAATTGCTTCTTTTTAAATCTTTATGTGTGCCCATGAATGCTTCCAGCTGCCCCTCGAGGGGCTGCAGCAGCAACCGCAGCAGCAGCGCCGCAGCGGCAGCAGCAATGCAGCAACAGCAGCAGCAGCAGCAGCAGCAGCAGCGGTCGAAGCTGCTGCTGCAGGCTGCAGGTTTTTCTCTCCTGTGTCTCTTCTTGTTCCACTGCTGCTGCCTGCGGCCCTGGGCAGTTCTTAATATGTTTGCTGCTGCGAACAGCAGCAGCAGCAGCAGCAGCAGCAGCAGCAGCAGCAGCAGCAGCAGTTTATTCTTTAAAGAAAAAGCCCAGGGGCCCCTCCATCTTGACTACTTCTTAAGTGGGGCCCCCAAGGGGGGCCCCCTTGAGCAGCGGCGGCTGTCCGAAGACAGCAGCGCAGCAGCAGCAGCAGCAGCAGCAGATGAAGGTGCTGCAGCAGCAGCAGCAATCGCAGCAATCGCAGCAGACGAAGACTCAGCAGCAGCAGCAGGTGCCGCCGCAGCAGCAGCAGCAGACTCAGCGGTGGCGGCAGCAGCAGAAGAGGACGAGGACGCAGCCGCTGCTGCAGCAGAAGCAGAACGCTTAGCAGCAGAAGCAGCAGCAGCAGCAGCAGCAGCAGCAGCAGAAGAGCAGCAGCAAGACTCAACAAGCGCACTTTCAAGTTTGAAAGGATTCAGAGGAGCAGCAGGAATGTTCATAATTGCTGTTGCATGCATCACTGCTGTCTCCGCGGGCACTGGAGGTGGGCCAAACTGCTGCTGCTGCTGCTGCTGCTGCTGCTGCTGCTGCTGCTGCTGCTGCTGCTGCTGCTG